AATAAACAATACATATATATATATATATATATATATATATATATATAAATATTTAATTATTTATTCATCGTATATTATTTTATTATTTATTATTTAAAAGAAATCAATATTAAATAAAATAAAAAATTGTTAAGAAATTAAAAGTAATAAAATGTCAAAAAGAAAAACATGTAACATGGTCTAAAAGTCCGGAGAAATAGAATATATCAAAAACGTTCAATTTCGCTCTTGGATTGGTTTTTTTTAGATGTGCGCTACATACACTACGAAAAAGTTAACTGTTTTAATTTCTTTTATTGTATTATGCATTGGTATTGTTTTACTGTCATAAAATTTATATTTATCAATTTATTTTTAATGAATATTTTTAGTCTATCAATTGCATATTTATTTGCCATTCTTATATTTAAATTATGACACAGTAAAATAGAATTGTTAGATTGTTTGAAAATATTCAAGAACTTGTTAACTAAAAGCTTTTTATTACTGACATGGAGATTTAGATTTTTCATATTCACATTTAAATATATACTTTTAGATTTTTAAATAGTTCAAATGTTTTATTATTTAGAAAAAAAACAATGTATTATTTTTGTAATCTCTTAATTGCACTAATTTTCATGTCATGAGAAATTTCGAATCTAACACTATGAATATAACACTCGTAAAGTTACATATAGGTAATTTTTAAATATTTGTTAATAATATGTAGATAACAATACGTTAGAAGTGTAAATAAATTCTAAATTCTATAGATAATAATAAATTTGTAAAAATTATATTAAATAAACTACTAGGTATAATACATACTCAATAATTAATTATAAATCAATTATATGTTTTTATTTAATATAATCCAGAACATATTGTGGAGAATTTGAGATGGCAAGATAAAAACATTTAACCAGAAATAGGTAGAGAAGAAAGTGAAAGGGAATTGAAAAATTATTTCCAAATTTCATTTATTAAGAGAATATGTGATATTTTTAGAGATATGTCAACAAAAACTAACAAAATCTTACCTATTACAAAAATTCCAATTGGGTGGCTCTTTAAGCCGCCAACCTTTTTCCGATTCATACATTCCAAGCTCTACAAAGATCTGATTAATATCTTCTGGCGCTATCTTGATGAAAGACGAGATCATATTGCGACTGAGAAATTGATGTTCAGTAAACAATAATAACTGAAAAACATATAAAATATAAATACAAATATATGTATGCAGGATGAAAAATATCAGACTAGTGAAATAACTCTCAAAAACCAGATATTTGAGAAAAAAAATGTTTCATAAAAAAATTAATAATCTCAATAGAATTTCAACAAATATATACAATACTCATTTGAGCATAAGTCTAAAAGAACTTTCAAAGTCAACTTTAAAATTTTTAATGGAAATCTATTTTTTATTCAATATTCTTATAGCTGATATCGAGATCTACTCAAAATGTTACAACACATGAAACACACTCCCTTTGATTAAGTATTTTTCGAGATAACAGTTTACATTAGCATTAACATTATTCCGAGGAAAATTGTATTCCGTGGAAATAGTTTTGTTGGATTTATACCTTGATTCTGTGTGTTTGTGTGTACGTGCGTGTTGTGTGTGCATGCATGTGTGCATTTACTAATAATTATAGCAGATATTCGAATCGTCTTTCTTTTGATCACCATTCCACGCCACCGAACTCGCGCATTTAAAACTCTAATCAGCTGAACGATCAAATAATACGAACATAACAGCACATACATAATTATAATTATTAAGTTGTATATACTTACAATATAATCACGAGCTTTGCACATAAATTCGGAAATGCTGTTTTGAGAGCTGGAGCTATCCTTGTTATATATTAGTTCGCTATTCACAACCCAATTACCTTGTACTAACATAGCTACTTGTTGCAAATATTTCAGTATTGTTGTCATATCGTACTCTGGCGATAGAATTTCACATAATTTTGTAAAAGATATGATTTTCACTGCAAAAAAATTATTTTTATTCATTAAATTTTTTCACTAAAGATTATATAGTTATAATATAATATAATTTATATAGTTTAAATATTATCGGACACACACACACACACATGATTTCCAACATGTAAGATTATATATACATGTATATGTATTTGTATATATATTTAATATTTCCCTTACCTTGTTTCATAATTATCCTGATTTGATCAAGCAAAGGCAGAGTCATGATATAATGAAGAGCTATTTGATCCTCAGAAATAGATTGCAAATAGCATGTATCAGGTAACTGTGGTACCAATATATGTAAATAATGCTTCTGAGTTAAATTTAAATTGTTTATTGATTCTTCGATTGATGGGCAGAACATTTCCATTCGTGTCGACTACAAAAATCAAAATATGCATTAACAAGATCTGATATTTTAATACATTACATTTCAAAATACATTTCAAAATATATAAAGTAATAAAATAAGAGACAGAACTTATAAGACTTTTTGCTGGAACTCATATACAGCAATGAACGTATTAATTTTCCTTCCAAAGAAATTCATTATATTAATACCTCAGCTTGTATATCATAAGCCGATATGTAATTTGTATGTATCCAACGTTCTTCTTGACTTTTTTTGTAATGATGCTGGAAAGATTGTTCCTGCATTTTCTTCAGGTTATCTGGCAGATGTCTAGCAAATGTTACTTTCACGGGTGTGGCGTTATCTTCTTCCTCGGCGTCGTCTGCAGTTTAGCAAATAAATTTGTGAGTTCACTTGTGCCAAGCTCTGAAGGTATAACATAAGCTATTTAAGTAAATGAATTCATATATAAGCAAACTGAAATCTTCTTTTACCTTCTCCTTTTGTTCCATCCCTAACATGCTTATCATTTTCATCCAAATAATCACATTGTAGCTTCATATGCAACATCCCTTTCAATGGTGTGATATGTAGCTCATCATCTTGAAAGACCCCGACTGCAAAATTTGAGCAATCTGGCAATGCCCGTTCTGAAGTCAATACGAGCTTATCCATCAAATCACTAAAAAAAAGTTCAATTTTTTATTATGTAATTATAATCTATTCAAAGATATACTGAAAATAATAAAAATATATCAAGCTTAACTTTAACATTTGCACTATACTTATAATACTATATTTATTATGAAAATTAGAAATATTATGAAATATTTTGAAGTCAATATAAACGCAGATATGTACAATAAAACAACTTTTTTTTGTACTCTTTAAGTTTTTTACTTTTTTCAATTAAGTTTACATATACTATTATACTATTCCTTGACATCTTAAGTCAAATTATAAATAATTTTGCTAATAATCATGCAAATTTCAATGAATCAAAATTATGATTATTTCAATATACATGCCCGTATATTAAATTGTATTCAGTTTAAATTAAATCTGTAATATAATTACTCATTAACAAGCCAATCAAATTACAATTAAAAATATTAAAAGCATAGATATTTTTCTACTCATAATACTTAAGACAATCTTAAATATAAGATTCGATTATAAATACCGGTATATTATTCTGTATTATATATACAATATTTATTTTGCCTAGAATAAAATGTTTGATGAACATGCAAAGTACCAAAAAACCGTAATCATGAAAATTGGAAACTAAGACAAGGTCCTGAAACGTCATATTCCTGAAATTTAAAATATGTGACAATGTGCCAAAAGGTCACAGGCCAGTATTCATAGTTAATTCTTATATTTAAGATCGTTTTAAGATAACATTTTAATCAATAGCTGTATAAGCTTATTTAAGATGATTTTAAATATAAGAACTGACTATGAATACTGGCTACAATCCCGAAATTTCAGAAATGAGACAATACTCCGAAAAGTCATACTCTCAAAAAATAAGAAATGGGACAATGTCCTGGAAAATTATTGATCAAAATAAACTCGAGAAACTAGACACAATCAATAATATTCATTGATACTGACAGTAATATTGATAATATAAGGTTTGCATTATTGACAACTATAAATTTGTGCATTTTTGATATCACATTTTTGGTATTAAAAATTTTTTTACACAAGGTGTATGTATTTAATATCCTTTTTATCTGTTTTATTAAAAAAATGAATTTTCATAGATATCAATACATTAATATATAAGTATAAAAATTTTGATGTCATATAAAATTTTATAATTACCTATCAAATATTTTTTCATCATTTTTTCTTGTTGATTGTTCATTTGTATTGAAAGCCAACTGTTTTCCCATATCATGATCATAAGAGTATTTATTCAATGTATCCATTGCAATTTCTATACGAATTTTCTGATTTTCAGGCTTAATAGAAATCTTTGAAAATGTAGCATTAGCACAACCATCTTTGACATATGCAGGAAACTGTATAATAAACAATTTCTCAGCCAAAGTCTTGGAGAGAAACACTGGTATCTGTACAAATAATTCCATTTAAATAGTAAATAGAAAATAAATACATAAAGCAAACAATTTATATCTTACAAATATTTTAATAAAAAAGAAATGAATTTGAAATACAATTATACAAAAAATACAACAGGAGTGATAATTTTAAACAGAAAATTTTAATTTTTTGTCTCGAAAACACATAAATTCTAACTAATGTTCTAAATACTCTTTACCGATAAAAATGTTTAAAAATGGCTTACAGCC